GCTAGGCAGAGATATTTATAGGAAACGAGCGAATGCTGGTTTTATTCTTAATTTTCTTTCTAATCATAGTTATAAAACTAAGGTTGGAATTTTACAATATATGATTGTTATGAGTATGAGGTTTGCAGATGAAGATCATCTGACCGAGAAGTTTAGATGACTGAAAATTTTATTCCTGTAGAATTATTATCCTTTGAGCTCAATTCATAATAGTATATATCTAATGAGGAATACATTTTCAGGCGGAGACTATTTGGTCAGAGATAGACAAGCTGAGACCCTTTCTCATGTTCTAATCTTGCCGACATGTTCTTTTTTTTGAAGAAGAAGTGGGGATAAAGGCCATTTTCATAGAAAATTTCTTTAGTTATACCTTCTTTTATATAAAAATATGACCCACCATCAAATCCGGCTGTTATAAGATTATGTGCTCCTGTGGTCATCGACCTCGTGTGGCGAGACCTGTAGGCCGATCCGCCAAATATTAGCGAAACAAAAAATGCTTGTAAAGGCAGTTGGGTCGAACGGTCAAAAGTTGTGGAAAACATAAGATGAAACTGTGTATGAGATGGAATTTGTCTCGCACACAGAGGTTTGCTGATTATGGTATGTCTGCTACGAAACACAAGATAAGAGAGGCTATTGAAATTAATAGATTAGGGAATACGTTGAATGTGAGGAATGGTGGTAGGGAGTTGAGTAAGAATAACTTATGCTTGAGAGAAAGATTGAAAGAGAATGAGGGTGTTGAGCCGCCGTCCAAAAGAAGAAAACTCAACTTGTCAGTCGAGTAATGGTTATAGCCAGATTAAAACTCGTTCAACAGACATGTCAAGCTCATCAGCCAAAACAAACATGTGGGGCTATGCAATTCCAGCCAAGCTTCTCCGTGGGTCATTAAACTCTAATATAAGCCAGACTAGCGCGTTCGAACTGGTGGTTTCGTAACCGGACTTTCACGTGTACACACTAACATCTCATCAATTTAACCAGGGTTACTTACAAACAAACGCAATCTCAATCACCCTTTTTTTCTTTTTTTTCTTTTTTTTTATTCTTGGATCATTAAGCCTTTATGTTGAGCTTTTTTCTAATTACTCTGAGTTATGACCGGTTTTGCGTAAAGGCGTTAGCATACATACACACACTCGAGTATACGTGAATTAACCAAACCCTTCTATATCCATCAATGCCCTAAATTTTGCTCTCAATGAGTATATGTAAATCATATAGAAAGAAACCGGTCAGTCTTCTTTTCTTAGCGTTAACTTGAGGCTTTTACGAGAATGAGCCTCACCTTTGACGATGTTTGTCACAAGACAAACAAAAGCTCAGCCCGTCCTCATCCAAAACGTTGGAGTATGTCCCGTGGACTACATCAACCTGAACGCCGTATTAAGGCCATATGGCTGCAGTGCAAATCTCTTCATCATGTACTTCCATACGAAATGAAAGTTTTCACCTCACTCGTATCTTATAAGATTGTTCGAAACCCGCATTTTCTTCGTATATATTGCAATAAAGCTTGGATGAGTTCCAGCAAGTCAGAGGACTCTTTCAGCTCTGTTCCTGTGGTTCGGTAGTTATCATGCTCATTGCCTTAAAATGGTCTCGGTCTTAAGCTATATCCACTCTATGTTGCTTAGGATGATGAAAAAATAAAAGTTGAATTTTCCCACCTTTGGAATGCAAGGTTATGCGAACTTCATTGGAAGCTTAAGGCCCATTCATCTGATTGTGGAAAAATTCGACAATCAGTCCTTCATCACCTTATGCAACTTAAGGTGAATACTGTCCTTATTCAAGATCTCAAGGTGGCTCGAATCGAATTTAACTCGCCTCCTCCAGAATGGCCGGATTAAATTGTATACCTCAAAGGACACTTGCACCTACTTGGCTCCATTACATACCATTTCGATTCGCCGTCTATCTGGGACACGAGGAAATACGAGAACTTTGCTTTCACTGGGTATAGGGGACGATTTGAGATGTATTCATCCTATTTCGTTTGGGGCGATAGGGAGACTGACAGCTGAATTTTCCCACAGTGCTATGAGTAAGCATACCGTTTCCATTTAATTTCACATAACCTTTCTTTCCCAAAAGTTTTTCTCATCCAGGGCAGACTGCAGTTTCGACCTCACCTAGATCAAACTCCCCAGGGAGAATAGGAACAAGACAATGGTGTGTATAATCTTGACACGTTAACCACTACGCTACGTTTCCATGACGGCCCTTGGGTCTCAGGGCAGATATAAATTTTAAGGAGGGCCAGGCATTTTCCCATACCACATTCCTTGGCGGGATTGCCGATGGAACAAAGTTGTATTTGCTATAACAACTGATTAAGCTACTTATTTT